GAAATAATGATCCTTGAGCATTAGTAAATTTTACTGAGAAAAATGGAGAGTAGTAATTAGTCTAGAAAGTTTGGTAAGTGGGTTTCAGTTAAGACAATTGTACTAAACTTTTTCAAATTTCCTGCATCAGTTACATATTTTTCCAGTCAAAAATCATGAGGGTGTTTATATCAAAGTTCATATTATGAGCAAAAAGAATGTTAAGAATACCAGTACTACCATTTTTTAAATGATTATTTTAAGAAGCCGTGTTTTGAAACTGAAATGACCCCTGTTCCTACGAATCATTTGACAATTGTTAGCCCTGAATTCTGGAAAAGAAACAGATAAAAAGATTAATATAGACGAATTCCTTAGAACTCTGTTCATACTCCTCCTAGGACAAATCCTCCTAGAACAAATAACTGAAAGACAGCTTGGGATTATCTGCAGAAATATGAAAAAGGTCCTCCACCATGACATTTGTGCCTTGAAACCAGATTGCCGTGGATTGAACCCCTTGACATTGTGAGGCAGAATAAACCTGTCCACCTCTAGTTTGTGAGTATCAGATCTTTTTTTCCTCAGAAAGAGGAAGGCTGGTGAAGGCAGGAGAGTTTCACCCAGCAGCACGAACAGAGAACTTTATATGCTGAACTTGGGAGCAAAGTAAAAAAGTCACCTGATTGGTGACAGTGAGGTGTTTGTTTCGGGAATGGTCTGATCAGTTGGCTGTTGATGAGTGGATGAAATTTGGCTGTTTATTGCTCCTAAATTAGATTTCCCTTGCTTACGACTTAATTATGTTGTAGTTTGTTACTCAGAAACTCAAAGCGCTGATCTTGAGTTCAGCGGCTACTTGCTTATGTAACAGTTGTTATGGTGAGGGAAAGGGGATCTGAAAATTACACTTCTCTGCAGGTCCTTTGACCAGTAGGTCAGGCCTTGTGCAGATAGCGTAAGGTGTTTTAGATTTTAATTGATTTACTTATTTGTAAAGGACTGTCCCCACAATCAGGCATGAACTGAGAAGGGTTTGAGTTTTAGAGATAGACTGAAAAATAAGAAAAGGAGCTCTATTCTAATGAAGAACCAGCTGATCTTACCCCTTTCTGTTATGGGAGTGGATTAAGTAGTGGAATCATAAATGCCTCAAGAATGTGGAGCCTAGTTGTCTGTGGAAAGACAACCTAAAAAGGGAACCTAAATTTTTGAGTTCGATTTAATTTGAAGTGAGTGTATAGTATCTAAGGTGAAACACGAAGCAGGACATGAAGGGTACAAGGCTGGAGATAATGTGGAACACTTGAAAATGACGCCACTATGGTTTATCAGAGGAGGAGGCAATAGCTATTCTGCATGCCATTCTAATTCCTTTTCTAAGTTCCTGTGCCCAGGGAGAGGGACTTAAAAGATGACGATGTCTCTGCTCAACCGAAGAAGACAATGACTTCCAGACCTAAAAATGACAGAGTCCTTCCTGAAGGCAGGAAGGGTGGAGGCCAAGGCAGCAAGCGCTCGCCATCCCTCATTCTTGTTTAGCCCTCTCTGCTCAGCTGCACTTCAACGAGGATTGTGCCTCAACATAGGGATGTTGATCCGAGAGGAGCAACAGGGGGAAAGCTGTCCCCCTAAACTTGCACGCTGGCTTTAGTGAGCACTTGGCTAGGTGACTCTGAATGATGTTTAGAGTTTTAAATGCACTGTTTTCCCTTTGAAGGTGTGATACATGTGATTTTTAAAAAAAACTGAATTTATTGGTATATTCTAGGTAGACAGTACAGTTACATTCATTACTGGGATCTTGTACCTTTACATGCCAGGTCTTGGTTCTCATTTTTTCCCCTTGTCCCCACCCTTCCTTCACCCCCTCCTCCCCTCCCCACCTTCAAACAATGTAATTTTTGAAATAAACTGAAAATATGCAGATTAATAGAAAATCATAACAAAGTTATTAACAGAGATATGAGTTATAAAAAAGCACAGTATGAGACTTCAAGGAAAGAGACAGAATTAGATAGCTAAAACTTGTATAGAGCTAAGCAAGCAACAGGGCTTGGACATCTGTTTTAATGGGGCAGGCGGTGGCCAGCTATGAAAGTTGATGAGATAAGTGGACAGAAAAATGATTGTCAGGCTATGAAAATGAAGCTCCCAGGGGAAAGCCACTCATGATAATTTCTGTCTGCACCAGATATCAGATTCCCAATTTCTTTTTCCTGCGGGGAAAAAAAAATTTCTAGGCAGGAGTGAGGATATCAGGAAAATCTATTTATGTCTCCTTGCTCTTTACTTCAGAGATGTAGATTTCCTTTACAGTTGTAAATTTCTTCTATAAAAGATCAGCTTTTCAGACAGTTTCTCAGAATAACCATCTTGAAATATATCAAAGAAATATATTTTGGGGTGGCATTTGGGGGACCCACAGAATGATATAGTAGTTGCACATCACCCATGCATAGCACTTCCTATTACGGATACTTGTGCCATGTGTCATAAACCAGAGACTTGTCATGCTAGAGATAAAGGATACCCGTAACTTAAAGGAGGTTTATTTTGTCTCGTGTTTCAGTCCACAGTGAACTGGCTTCGCGCTAGTACAACAGGGCACAGGGGCACAATGGAAGAATAGCAGCTCACTCAAGGCAGCCAGGAAGCAGAGAGAGTCAAGAGAGGTAGCTGGGAAGGGAGTTAGAACCTCAGGGTCATGCCCACAGTGGCCCATATCTTCCAGCCAGGCCCCACCCTCCTAACAGCAGGGTCAGTTATACTGCCCCTATAATCCAATCATAGTGTCTCAGTGTGAGAGCATGAGACTTTTGGGGCATCTAGATATAAATCATAACAATAAGCAAGACAGTTAGGGTAGAATCTACAAACTTTTATTCTCGATTCTTAAATCAAAGTATCTAAGGTCATGGCAAACTTATTTGGTTGAAAAAGATCTATCCTGAGCTCTTATGAGGCTATTTAACTTTTTTAAAAGTTTAGAAATCAATTTTTGTAGGAATATTCTTGTTTCACTCTAGAAATAATACTGTTTGGTAGTAAATAACCACAGTAGACCACACTGGTGGTGGTGCCTATAGATAAAATTGGTAACTATTTTATGTTTTGAAAATCCTAGAACAATTTTTGAGTGTTGAATTATTTCTGTCTATAAGGATTTTGGAAAAGGAATTGTAAATTTACATTCTGTGGATTTCATTTTTATCATCCACAGTTCATCAGTGTTATTATGAGTGTCTTTGTATTGTCATGGCTGCTTTGATGTGTCTTGACTTAATTTCTAATGTTTATCTTTCTCGATCATATGGAGTTTGAGGAAAAAGCACAAGTTCCGCTGCACAGTACCAGATGCATGTTTTTAATAATCTGCTTTTCTGCTGGATGCCACTCAGAACAACATTCACCGCAGTTTTATTACACCTTATAAAGACAGTCATGAAAGAGGACTCCAGAACTGCTCCAGAAGGGGCAGGGACACTGGGAGAAGTGTGTGCAAAGTGAGGGGAGGATTTTAAGGACAATTAATGGCAATGCATCTTTTACTGTAATATTTTAAAGTTTATTTATATACATTATTTAATTTATATAATATTATATATATATATATATATCTGGATGCTTTTTATAAATATCTTTTCTGCGTCCAACTTTTTCTCCTGCTCTCAAGGAGATATTTTATCTACTTGTCTATATTAAATGGAAAATGCTAAATTTTTACTTATTTAGAAATTTATGCATTAGCAGGGAATAAACAGCACATGAAACATTTAATGGATAAATTGTGGTATTTCAGAAATCCATCGGCCCCGCAGAGAGATTTTGAGAGGGGTAAGACGAGCACTTGCTCTATGCCCCTGAAACCAGATCACTAAAAATATTAAGATTTACCTGTTCATAACATCAATGGGAAATGAATACTGCCATAAATAAAAAATACTACGGCTGGAAACTTAGTGGAAGGTGAGTTCAGGATTATGAACATAAAGCCATTTTCTTCATGAAATGGTTGCTACAAATTTTCTATGAAAATAACTGTAGTATTTCTACAGCTGCATATACACACATTCATGTTTGCTTTGTTTTTGTTTTCTGTAATAAGTGTCTCTAAAAAGCATGCTTGATGGTTGGGTACTTACCAATACCACATGCAGTCAGTGAGTACAAAGGAAAGGTTTATCTTCTAAATTCCCAAGTTGTATAATTCTCCATAACCGGAAACTGCATGTGTACTGTAGTAGGTTTGTCAGAAAAGAAACAGTTCACACATCTCTCCTTTCAGCTGCTAGAGTAAACGAGAATTCTGCAAACCCTGACATTGCATTAAAATAGCCAGTATAAATACAACCTCGCCTCTGCAGTTGGAAAACTTTGGGGTAATGAACTGAAATGTCTAAGGAAACAAATGTCAAAATTGAACAAAAGATTTTAAATTTACTACCTTCATCAGCACTCACGAACAGCAATTAGCTTCGCTCAACGACAGTTCGGCAAACCCGCTGCAGAGGCGCTATGCTCCTGGGCCTTTCTGACAAGTACAACATTTGACCTACTTTACTAAACGAATCCGATGACTGCGTTAGGACCAGGCCTTTAGCACGCTGAGGTGTCTGTGCTAGGCGCCCTGTTGCTGCACGCTGGAGGGGTCCCTGGCACCACTGGTGCTGTCTTCCCGGATATTACAGCACATTCATAAGCACTGAAATACATTTCAGACCCGCATGATGACTTTTTATGGTCCCTATTACTGAAGTTTAAATTCATGTGCCTGCAGCATGGAATACATTGTTTCCTTCAGCTCTGTCATGCGCCTCCCCTAACATTCAAGGCAATCTATTATCACCAGTCACCGGGAGCCATAAATTACCTCACACCCCGACGATAAAGGCTGTCTTTGTATCCATGTGTTTTGTTGAGCCAGCAGAGTTTGTAGAAAAGATCGGGGAAGGAAAAAAGAACTCTGTCAAGTATCTGATTAAACAATGTCTCGATATAACGGTTTTCGTTTGTCAGGAATGTTTTCCTATTTATTTTTTAGCTTTACAAGTAGTTTCACTGTGTGATGATGAATAAATAAAACCTCATTTTTCTTGATTAGAGCATGAAATGAAAGAATGAAGAAAGTGTCAGACCCCAAATGATGTCACATTTGGAATATTCATAGGGATTTCATTTTAAGAAAATTATTAAAGGGAAGTGGGAAGGGGACGGGAAAGGAAATAAGGGAAAAGAAAAATGTGAAAAAAGGAAAAAATGGAAACAAAGTCTTTGTAAATAGGGGAGGGTGGAGGGGCTGAAGGGAGGGCAGAGGCATGGGGAAAAAATAACAACTAAGACCTGTCATGTAAAGGTTCAAGATCCCAGTGATAAATGTAGCTTTACTGTTTGCTTTAAATGGACCAATAAACTTAACAGGGAAAAATTATTTTCATGTCTTCTCTTTTTTTTGTTGCGCAAATGAACTAATTAAATACAACAAAAACATTTCAAATGACATAAAATTAGTAAAGTTTAGTTTCAGATAGTAAGTAGCCTGTAAATTTTGGGTGGGCCACATTATTAAAAATGGTTGCTGAGGACATTCTAAAACTTTTCATAATAAATGTTGGGTCTTTCCTTCTGAGAACAACATACTGCTATAAATTATTTTAAAATGTTAATAAATGACTGTGGTTTTGTGATTGCTAAGTTTCTCAGTCTGTTTTAAAGGATGTTTAATAATTTTGTGTGGATAAAATGTAAAAGGGAAATTGTATCATATGCAAATTTTAGTTTAGTAAAGCTGTTGCTTTAAAAAAACGGATCTATCACTTTGATATAAAAGATTTCTGTGAATTGTTTGTACTTAAGCAATTTATGTATCCCAAATATAAAGAGTAATGACCCAAAGTGGTGGTCCAATGATTATTTGACTTCCACAGAAAATATATTCTGATTGATCTCTTTAGCTACTTTATACTATGGGCATAGGATTTTGAATTTTCTCTGTTCTGTGCTCATCCCACATCATAATCAAATGACTAATTTTATTAACTTAAGAAAATTGACAGATTAATCTAACTTAATTGGCCTACAAATTAACGAATGCAACTGGTAAAACAAGGGTCTTTTAGAAGTAAAAGGTCCGGACACACACCGGTTGGGCATTTCTCCAGTTCTGGAGCAGCCATAGGTTTTGCAAGGTATTCAAAAGAAGATACACATCAAAACTTGAGAGAACACACCAGAGAGTGTTCTTTGACAAGCAGCATGACCAGATTAAATGTAAGCCAACTACTTGTCCCTTAAATATTGCTGAGAGAAACAAACATGCCCATAAATCAAAGTGAGGTTATCAGGCTTAGTGCAAGGATGAAGGCTGGGAGAAAGTCAGGGTATAATTTATACTTTCTTAAACTCATACAGTTCCAGAGGCCTTATTGGTCTTCTCTATAGAGAAATGGAAAGACATGATTGTGTGTGTGTGTGTGTGTGTGTGTGTGTGTGTATGTGTGTAGTTTTGATAAGGGAATTTGAAAACAAAATAATAACAGTTCATGAATAGAGGACTCATACCTTTGGAATTAGCACTGGATTTTCAGGCCATCAGAATGATATTTATTGAACTCAGAGACACTCCTTTCTTTCCCCCTGGTAGAATCATGTAATTACCATAAAAATATAGAACATTGAGTCAAATCATAAAATTTCTATGAGTTGTGATAGCTCTGATAGCCTAGAATAGACATCTTCTTCTCTGTTTATCCTTAGTATTTTTTTATTCCATTGGACTGTTTGAGTAACTTGTTTTTCTTTTATAGTATGAAGTCTGAATTGTTTCTTAACTATTATCTAGAATTACCCTCTTATAAACATCTTTCTCTACTAAATTATCCTAGATGACTACTGACATTAGCATGCTAAACTACACACTACTCTCAAACACCCTGTTTTGCTTTGATGTTAAAGACACCAGCTGCAGAAAACTAGGGTCTGGGACCTGATTAGCAACTATGGCAGCCAAACCTTGCAGAGGTTGTTCTGCCATTGGAAAAATAGAGATAACAAAACCCAAAAAGTCATTCTTCCAAGCAATTGTGGGATTAGAAAATGAGCAAATGTATGTAAATGATGTATGTGTAGAGATAATTGTATTATGTTTCAATCTGTTACAGTCGGGGAGTTGTGGGCTCGGGGGATTTAAGAGACTTGCTCAAAGTCACATAGTGACTCCGTAAATGAACCAATCACGGATTTCTTTCCCTTTTTAAAAAATCTTCTACCTAGTATTTAAAAATTATTTGAATTAAGGCACTTATTTTGAAGGTATAGACACTTTTGGTAAATATTTCCTCAAAGTACAGTATAACAAGCATAGAAAAACGCACAAATCACAGTTATACAGTTTGTCGACATTTCACAAAGTGAAACATTTCAGAAATGGCATAAACATCACTAGCAGCCAGGACACTCTACCCTGCCATTCAAGGATAAACACCTCCGGCTCCTAATGACAGGTTATTTCTGCCCTTGTACCTGTTGATGCTGCAGTGAAGACTCTCCAAGTTCAGCGCTCCCCGCGGGAAACGCCCCACCTGACACAGTTTTCCCTCCCTGGACCAACCTCCAGGCCTTCATGCCCCTGCCATCGTGGATCATGGGTGTGGGCCAGGTCGCTCTCTATGGCTGAGGAGCTTCCCTAAGCGGGTGACAGCCAAGGCTTGAGCCCTCAGTGTTGCCAACAGCGAAGGGAGCCAACTCACCTTCCTTAAGGTTAGTTACGGGGCACGTCTGTGTCTGCCCTAATTCAGAAATGCAGTTGGGCTGGGAATTTAGCTCAGTGGTTCCTCCACCTGCCTCACAAGCCCAAGGACCCCGAGTTCGATCTCCGGTACCAAAAACCAAACCAAAACAAAACAAAAAACAACCAACCAAACAAACAAACAAAAAAGGGAATCTTATATTATTCACTCTTTTGTTGCATGATCTCTTTTGCCCGGTATTATGCTTGTGAGATATATCCATGTTTTGAATAGCAGTAGTTTGTCTGTGTTGTATAGTATTCCCGTGCGTGAATTACACTATCAATTATGTATTTACTATATGACTGATAGATACTAGTTGGTTTTCTTGCTTTGTTTTGTTTTGGTACCGGGATCAGACTTGGGCCCTTGAGCTTGCCAGGCAGGGAGTGGAACCACTGAGCCAAATCCCTGACCCATGACTGATAGATATTAGGCTACTTCTAGTCTATGGCTATTACAAACGGTGCTTTTATAAACATTTTATATATATTAGTGGACCTTTGCCTATATATTTTACGGAATGTTGAGGGTCAGGGATTAGACATATATTCCTAAGAATAAAATTAATGAGTAACATTATAATTATATGTTCAGTAGCTACTGTCAAGCAGTTTTCTAAAGTTATGAGGAGTCCAGTTCCATAGTCATCCTTACCAACAAATGGCATTGTCTGTCTTTTCCCTTTTTATCTTTCTGATATTTATGTAGATATATTATTCCACTGAAGTCTTTTAGTATCTCCCAAATAATTAATGAAACAGATTATTAAAAAATGTTTATTAGCCATTGAGACATTTGTTTTGTGTAATATTCCTTCATGTTGGTTTAGACACTGCGAAGGAAAAATCATTTGAAAGGCCTTTATTAGGAAGTATTGCCAGGAAAACTGTTCTGATTTTAGAAGGGTGGAGTTGCGAACTGGAGAGAGAAAGAAGCCAAACAATAGATGGAAAGCCATGTTCCACAGCACGTAATTCTTGTTCAGCCCTACAAGGAAACTCTGGAGACCCTGTAAGTCACTATCAGTGTATTCCAGTTGGGGGATGAGGGAGATTGGCGTGTTTACACCCAAGGCTATGTCAGTCCCTTGTGAAGAGATGTACCAAGGAATATAAATCCTCAAGAAATTCCATCTCCTGTTTATGTATGCAAAATGGGTTTCAGAAAGTCGATTATGTTCTCCAAAAAGAGATTGGAATTAAGACCCCAGAAATGAGTGTGTACATGACTGGAAAAAGATCTGAGAGACATGTGGGGTGGCTATCAGCATTTGCTCTTTTTACTCTTAGCTTTCCTATCTTTCTCATCAATTTGTAGAATTTTTTTTTGTTGTTATTTTGAGACAGGGTCTCACTATGTAGTTGAGACTGACCTGGACTCACTATGTAGCCCAGGCTGCTCTCGAACTCACAGCAATCTTCCTGCCTCAGCCTCCCAAGTGTTGGGATTATAGGTGTGCACCACCACGCCTGGCTAGAAATTGTTTCTATATACAAAATATGGCTACTTTGTCGGATATATGAGTTATAAAAATATTTTCTGACTATGTAGTTGACTGACCTGGACTCACTATGTAGCCCAGGCTGCTCTCGAACTCACAGCAATCTTCCTGCCTCAGCCTCCCAAGTGTTGGGATTATAGGTGTGCACCACCACGCCTGGCTAGAAATTGTTTCTATATACAAAATATGGCTACTTTGTCGGATATATGAGTTATAAAAATATTTTCTGTTGATTGTCATTATGTTTCCTTAACGATGTTCTTAATAAACAGAAGCTTTTAATTTCAATATATGCATTTTCTAGGTCATGTTTAAGAAATCTTTGGCTACCTCAAGGTTGTAAGATGTTCTGCTGTGCTTTCTTCCTGAAGCATTAGTGTGCAACCTTCCCTTTTTCAAACTACCATCTATTAGCTATGGGTTTTACTATGCAGTACGAGGCAAGGGTAGGCTCCTTCTTCCATATAAATGTTCTGTTGGCCCAGCAGAACTTACTGAAAACCCTGCTGTTCCTCCCTCTTCTGCAATACTACACCTGCCCTTGAACAGGTCACTTTGTTTGTGATCTCTCCATATCCTCCAGATGGTGTAAATTCTATCGCTCTATATGTCTCCCTATCTGGGGATATAAACTCTCCAGCTATGCTCATTTTC